AAAAGAAAAAAAAAGAATATTACAAAATAGAAAGCCTTGGGCAAGACTGACTAATTAAAAAAAAGAGTAACAGCATTAACGGGAATAAAACAGCAACTCAACCAAAAAAGCAGGGAATAAATATGAGAGCAGTAGGACTAGCTTTATGCTCACACATTTGGAAACTTAAATAAAATGTATGATTTCCAAGAACAATATCACTCTCCAGAAGAAAAAAGGAAACCTAAATGAAAAAGAAGTAGGACATATACATCATGTAAATAGATAGGCAGATGACAAGTGCGTTAGGTTACAAAGGAGAATGGCTCTCTGAATCTGGGTCAGGTTTTGAAAGTCTGAAACTGACGCAAAGTGACGTTTTGCATGAAACAGTATTTATTTACCAGCAAATGAGAAATAACCTAAAAATGTATTAGGAAATAGATACATTGTATTGCATATGTATATTCATTTGCTGGGATTCAGTTAAAATAAATGAACTACACATTAGCAACATAACTGGATCTCCAGAAGGTAACGTGCGAAAAAGCAGATTGCAGTGTTTCAGTGTGGGGCTCCACCGTCCTGTACTTGGCCCCGTTCAGATGTCTACCGTCATACCTAGTGTTTGTTTAAATTGGACCTTACCATGCTTAGATATCGCCAGTGCACCCTTTGTTAACATGTCCCATGTGGTGGCCGTGGGCAGTCTGTTCTTTTAGGTGTCCCCTTTCTCAGCCTGCACATGCTTGGTGCTTACAGCGCCTCCCTCCAAGGTCATTAGCCAACAGGAAACGGAGAAGGAAATGACTTCCCGTGGGTGACACCCAGCAGGTCGTGGCTACCACCCCCGCCCTTAGATGATGAGTGATGGGGTGACAGTGCCCGTCCTGTGCCAGGCACAGAATCATTATTTTCCTGGGAAACGTGCCAGATCAGAAGGTTTGTATCCTTTCAAGCTTTTCATACAAGCAGCCAAGGTTCTCCACGAAGGTCCCACCAGCCTTGTTCCCCATCTGCAGCGCGTGGCTCGTCCGCCTGATCTGTGCAGCACTTCTGTAGGCAGCCGTGTGCCACCGTCAGCATGCGCCCTCGTGTTATGAGGACAGCATGTCGCGACCCCAGTCTTCTGTGGTCTCTTGCAGGACGCCTTGCAGGAGATGTACAACCAGGAGGGAGTGTTCCCAGGGGAGCAGTTCAAACCCGCCCGACGGCCGTGGACACTCCTGAACTTCCTCTTCTGGGCCACTGTCCTTCTGTCGCCTCTGTTGAGCTTCGCCTTAGGCGTCTTCGCTAGCGGATCTCCCCTCCTGATCCTGACGTTTCTGGGCTTTGTCGGAGCAGGTAAGGAGCAGAAGGCTCACGTAGCTTGAGCCCAGAGCCTCAAGGCATCCTGGAGCCGGGATCCAGCCAGAGCCCCTCAGGCCTTGGAGAGCGGGCTCTGGCCACTCCATGGGGACAGGCTGACCAGGCGAGGGAGGAGGGGTGTGGGCCGGCCTGCCACCCCCACGGGAAGTCGGAGGCCAGAGGTCGGGTGCCCCCCAATAACGACCTCTCCAGTCGATGGCAAAGCCATCAGTCTAACCTCGCCTTTCTCCTGTTTTAAAGCGTCCTTTGGAGTCCGCCGACTAATAGGAGTAACTGAAATAGAAAAAGGCTCCAGCTACGGAAACCAAGAATTTAAGAAAAATGAATAATTAGTGGCTGTGATCGAATACGCATGACCTGATGGTGGCATCCAGTTAACTCAATTAAAAACAGCAACACACACAGAATGGAGAAACAGACACTTAGAAACTATTTTTCTTATTAACTGGTGACTAACATTAACCAATAAACTTGAGCCAAGAGTAAAGAAACTAGAAGGCCTGCAGGATGGAGCCCGGCACAGTGCACCTGCAGGCCGTGTGCCTCCTGGGAGACCTGTGAGGAGGGCACGTCTGCCCTGGGGGGGTCCTAGGGGACCGGCCTCCCCTGACGTCATCTCTCAGAGACGCTGCCGGCCAGAGAGAGCCTCTGAGGCTTTCTCTTCTTAACCTTAGGCCCTGTTTTGTTTTTTATCTGTGATTTTGGGAACTCGCCCTAGCTCCTCGCCTCTTCCCCTGCGTCCCCAGCAAATTCCCTTCAAGACTCTTCCCCTGTCCTGGGAACGGATGTCACAGGGTCCCTGGCCCCCAAGGTGGCCTGCGCCTTTGCTTGCAGATGGTGGGGGTGGGGGCACCATGGAGAAAGTTGTCTTGGTGATAAGCACACACTGGATGTCACATGGATTGGGAGCCCCGCCCCGTGTCCCGCCCGACCCTGGGTGTAAACACCTGAGAACTGGTGAGATGTCGACTTCTTCCCGCACCCACAGTCTCTATTCTCCCTGCAGCCATCCAACTGCAGTCCCTCCACTGGGAGCTGCGGAGGCCACGCTCGGCCGGCGCCCTCGCCCCCAGTGACAGGGAGCCCCAAGGCGCTGAGTGTGCTGGAGGGAGACCTCTGCCCACAGTCCCCAGGACTCGTAGCGGCTTCTTGAAAAGCAGCGTCACCATCAAACCTGTCTTCTAAAGGCAGTTGGAGACTGTTAGCACGGAGCTTGTCGGCTTGTAGAGATTTTATTTTTATAGTTGATGGCTCTTCACTTTAGAGGTGGTGAGCCTCCCGCCCTCCTTGCCACCCTCCCTTCCCCAGGCAGGCACATGTGTACCCAGGGAGGGCCTGCCTCTGACCGGGCGGGCGCCCTCTCCACGTGGCATGCCCAGCGGGCATCTTGTTCCGGCCTCATTCCTCCTGCCGCAGGGGTGTCTCCGAGCTCGTCTTATGTCCTCACAGCGTCCCTTTCCACCACAGCCCTAGTGGGAGGCACTGATTCCGAAGATGGAAGCGTGTTTAATGCACCCGGGGCCGGGCTGGAAGCTGCTGGGGCAGCAGTGGGAACAGCCACCAACCACCACGTCACCCGCCCCCATGCGGCTCAGCTAAGTCATTCCGCTGTAAACCCACCTGCATTGGACTTTCTCCTTAGACTTTCAACTTGGTTTTTTAAAGTCACATTCCCCTCATGCTTTTTAGCAAGGGAAAGAAAAATAATGGATGTTCTCTCTGATACACTGTAACCAGCGTTCTGAATAGAGGCAGGGTGAGTCTTCTAGGAAAACAATGGAGGAAAGAGGCATGGACGAAATTATAAACTAAATTGGAAAAATAGTTATGCATTGGCCTTAAGTGTTTTGGGAAGATTTATCCAGATGGCATAAATTCTTTAAAACGATGACACTCCTGAATTTTAAGTGTGGTAATTGTGATGGAGGGACAGCTGCAGAAAAGTGCCCCACAAGCGAGGGTGGATGAACACAATTCCTTGTGAGGCTAAAACAAACAGCTTTAAAATGCGTTTGTTTCAGGAGCAGGCCTGCCTCTGCCCTTGAAGGCTATCTGTCCACTCCCCCTGGGGTGAGCAGCTACCTTAGGGTTTCTTTGTCTTCATAGAACACTCTGCTCATCTGTCTTTATGTGTGTTTATCTATGTCATTGGCTAAGTCACTAATACTTAAAAAGTCTTAAAGGAAAAAAGTGGAAGGGCACTACCATGCAGACGCGTTACCCAGAAAATGCAAATTTAGGTCTTTAACCACTAAGTTAACCACTTAGTCCTTGTTTCCCAGATAAGTTCCCACCCCTTGAAATGAACACATAATGTGTGAATGCTGCATCCAGTCGGTGCGGGCTCCTCCGTACACGGAGACGGACCAGGGTGTAGGTTTTAAATCTCAGTGATTCCTTCTGACTGAACGCGGATCAGCTCATGCATTAAACACGGAGCCCTTTGGGAGCAATAAAAACTACTCCATGAATGTTCGGGCTTTTTTTTTTTTGGGGGGGTCTCAGAATAGTGCTTTTCTTTATTCTTTTCCTTTACACTCCACTGCTGAGCTGCTCGTGTCGCTGATTTGTCATGTCAAATTCAGGCTGTTTGGACAGGCCGTGTGAGTCGCAGTCGCCAGTGTGCACTCTAGGCCTGGTGTCCTGGGGGCCCTCCACATGGGGTCCTGGGGCTGGCAAGGGCGGGGAGCTGTTTGTTGACCCTCTGCTGGGGGGGATGTTTGCTGACCCTCTGCTGGGGGGGGATGTTTGCTGACCCTCTGCTGGGGGGGCTGTTTGCTGACCCTCCGCTGGGGGGGATGTTTGCTGCTTATAGTGTGTCTCCAGAGCCAGACCCCCGCTCCTGCTGGAGGTGCCCAGAAAGAGGGTCCCTGCCATGAGTGACGGACAGGCTGAACTCCAAGCCTGGGGGGTCAGTGGCTGCATGTTTCTCCTCAGGCCCAGGCCCCACTGTCAGGCCCCAGGTTCCATGTCCTTTGTCACCTTCCATGCTTGTATCCGCCCTGCCCAGTGAGTGGCGTTTGGCTTGTAGGCCCTCCCTGTGTGTCTAGCTGGGGAGAGGGCCACAGCTTTTGGGCCCCCTTTGGGTGTTCCATGGTGATTTTGTAGCAGCTGCCAGCACCTGGAGACTTTCTGGTAACACCGTAAGCAGTGAGCATGCCCACTGTGTGCAGCGGGGCAGACGCTGGGAAAAGGCTTGGCTGATCAGAGGGAACGCGTGTTAAAAACTCATGAACACTTTCTTTACGCCCTCTTTTTCTACAAACTGGAGCTTAGCGGAGGGTTTGAAATGGCTACCCATTGACAGAGTTTTCACCCAGAGAAAACACTGGTCACCGGTACGCGGTGACAGACACTAGATGCACAGCTCTGTTGGAGGCACTCTGTGGTGCCCTCAAGAAGCACAGAATCTGGTGAAGAGATGAGCTCTGAGTGCACAAACCACTAAGTAACGTAAAGCAACAGTGTCAGCAGCTCTTTCTTGTAGAACCGATGCAGATGTGGTCATTGGTTCTGAACCTGCCTTGTCCGGGCCTGTCCCCTCTCCGTGCACTGTGGCAGGAGACCTTTCCTTACCCTTGTCCAGTTATCAAGCGTGAAGCCGATCTGAAGAGAAGCGGTGTGCTCAGTCACGTGCAGTTTGGGAGCTGTCTCAGGCCACCCACACCCATGTGACGACTTATTTGGGGCAGATTTGGGGTGAAGAATAAGAAACTCTCTGCATGTTGCTTTGTGTCCACCCGAGACGCCTATAGGACAAGCCAAATAGAATCTTCTCAGCCCAGCTGACTTGCAGCTGAACTGTTCATCCCTGTGCGTGGCCCCCGCTGCGAATTTCTCACCAGTAGCGCATGCTTCCCCGGCATGCGACACTCAGCGTCCCGTGTGTGACGCGGCTTCCAGCCCGCCCGCCTGCCATGTAACCAGGCTTAGGGTTGAAACTGGGCCTGTTGTGCCTGCCTGCCTTCTCTTTGGAGACAGCACACCCTCAGCCCACGTGCCTGCCCCTTTGTCTAGTGAGTTAGCTCCTAAAGCCAAGGCCAGCCTCTCCAAGCACCTGGACCTGGGCGGGGTGCCCCCCCCCCGGCCATGCCACCCACTTAGACCGGGCCAGGCTTTGTCCCAAACCCTGCGTTGGGATGCCAGGGTGCATGCAGTCATTCGGGTTTCCCATTCTTGCCTATCAGGGCCAGGGTGCAGAAACACAGGGGCAGTTTTTGGATAGAAGATGCCACACTGTGTTCTGCCTGATTGAGGGGGTGGACACACATGAATTAGGTTTTAGCACAAGCATTTGCCGCTGGCTGACTCAGTGGAAATGGTGGCATTCTTACAAACCACTCGGGAACCAAAAGGACAAGGTCACTTTCAGGGAACCCGGGAAGTTACCAGAGGAGCTGACATCAGTCAGCCCCAGCGGCAGCCACGCATTCTTCTCAAAGACAATTGAATTGCTTTAAATTTTTAAGCTTTTTAATAACAAGTTCACCTGGAGTTTTCTTTTCTCGTAAACTTTCAGTTTCTTAACTTTTTGTTGTAAAAGTATTTGGACAGAAGTCAAACTGTGAATGAGATACTGAAATGCACTAAAATTGTATTAAATTAAACTGGAGTTACTTGATACAATGAAGAAATGCATCTGATCTACTTGTATTTATTGTCTCAGAATTGTACGTTGTGACAATCAAATGTTACTTGCCTAAATGCCAGAAATTCAACTGGCTTCTTAATCACAAAGCTCATTAGCAAGTACTGTATCATAAATTAATCATGAATCATGAAGATCTGGCTTCTTAGTCACAAAGACCGCCAGCCGGTAATGTATCATAAACTAACCGTGGATGATGAAGGTCGTTAGCAAGCACTGTCACTGTAATGAGGGTCTTTGGAAAACCACACAAACCATTGACGCGCATGCGTGTGACAGACATTGGGGTCTTTTTCTATTGTTGACAATCTGCCATACCTGACCGTTGGCCAGTTTCAAAGGGTGATACATTGTATACAGGGTGCAAATATGTTATACAGACTTTCCCTTTTGTACACTTCATTTTTACAAGTTTGCTACTCACAGCTTTATGTAGTGGAGTCTAGCAGTATTTTTGGTCTACAGGAGGCTGGTGGGGGGAGGTGGGGGGAGCTCACTTAGACCTTAAAAGCCTGTGTCCCAAAAAACTGTGTTTGCCGTGCTCTGTGAAGACCACTTTGTACACGGGCGTGAGCCCTGCCTGAGCGGCGGTATTTTGTAGATAAAATGCTGCAGGCGTCATACTTGTTTATTAAAATTGCTGCTATGAAAGAGGGATAAAATATCCCCGGTATAAGTGAAAGCGACTGTCTGCCTTCTTCTGTTCCTTTGTTTCTAGTTTGCGTAGATTTTTCCCAGGGGAAGTGAAGGACCTCGGGCACTTCCCAGCCTATGGGGTCGTCGCCTGCACTGGCTGCCCTGTGCACTTTGCAAGCCTCTCCTTTTCATGCCGGTTGCCTTTGGAGGGGACGTGGAGGAGGAGCACCACCATCTGGCAAAGCCAGGGAGCAAATCGATGCAAAAAGTGTGTGAAATGACTCTGCCTCAAAATGGGTATAAAAGCCATCAAGGACAAACGGGTTTCCACATAGGCATGTGTGCATCACCAAGTATTTTTCTGTAAAAAATTCATTCTGTGGCGAAAACTAAGGACCCCTTTCTCTTCCTTATGAAGAAAAGAACTCTTGTTAGAACCAAGAGCTATTCAGGGTCTCATTTGCCTGTCTGCCGAAAATAAATTGAGCTCAAAGAACCCAGGTGTCACTTATGCTCCGGGAACCGCCACCGTGGTGACATGCCTCTCTGCTGTGCGCCGTCTGGTTCCAGCGGTGCTGGAGGGAGTGGGCAGGGCCCACATCCACACTCAACCCAGCCTCCTGAGAACTGGAGAGGCAGTTCAGATGGCCTTCTGGAAAGTCCCACATCTAGCCGAGGTTTATTTTTAAAAATACATCCTGAAGTCAGAACATATGTGTACCAGCAGGTGCACACATGTGCGCACACACACAGGCACACTTGCCCCCGTGTGTCCGCACATGCACACAAACACACATAGGTGTGGAATTTCGGATGATGTGATGTAGGAGGTGAAACCAAAGGGCGCTGGCAGGGCTGGGTCGGACCCTTGTCCCCTACACACACTGTTATGCTTCACTTGTGTGCTTGTCCTGTTCAATGTGAGTGTCCACGAGTGACACAGGTGGCTGTGGAAGATACCCTCGGACCCTCCACCCAAGTCACAGATATTGGGACACCCAGGCGATGGCCTAGCTTAATTCTGAGGCCCACCTGCTTCTGACTCTGCCGGGGGGCACTTGGTATGTAAGAGTCAGCCCCCGGCCACCTGACGTGATAAGTGTGTGTGAGCACACACATACACTTATGTGCACTTCACACCTGCACTCACCCATGCATCCATGCACACGCACATGCACACGTATGCATGAACACAATACATGTGCACACATGTGTATACCACATGTGCACACAAACCCACGTAGGCATGCCTGCATGCACACACACGTATACACGTGCACCCTCATGCATGTACAGACATGTTACACATACACACATGTACACACATCCCAAGGAGTAAGGGGAAGGCTTGGGGTGGTCTTAGGAGAACAACCCCATTAGGACATGGGACGAACTCACAGACCTGTGCTCTGGAAATTATCCTTTTCTTCATGTTTCCTCCTGGCGCGATGCCTCCGAGCAGTGGACAGTCCAGGTGACCCAGGTAGCAGTGGGGATTGGGGAAAGGAAAGTGCCTCTCGGGAAGAAAGTGCTCCCCGAAGGCTGGACACTTGGTGAAGACGCAGAGTGTCCTGTGACATCTCGGCGGAGCTGACCATGTCACTGGCTCCTGCTGCAGTCCCACCAGGGGGTGGGGAGAATGTTAAACCCACAAGAACATCTACTGGGGGACCGTTTGGTGGAAAGGGGACCGCAAGTATGGACTGTATGGAACGTGTGACACAGGAGGTGTGGGGTGTGTTTTCGCCCACCCCCCCCAGGGAGAATCCTGCATGTAGCCGGAGGGGTTCCCCAGCTGTGTGGAGTGGAGCCCGACCCCCTGAGATGACACCATGCAGTCTGGTGAGGCCCTCAAACTGCTTTCTACAATATAAGGATGTGTTCTGCCAAACGGGGTGTAAGGCTGTGGTGAGAGATTATTGCTTGTCCAGGACAAGCAAGACCCAGCACTGTCGCATCCCCGTCCCTCAGCCCCTCAGGCCCAGAGTGTGAGGCGAGGCCTAGGAGTCAGAAAAGGGGCTGCTGGGGACCCCAGAGCACGCTGAACCAGGAGGCGTGTGCAGGAGCCTGGCGTGTCCTTGGAGACAAGTAAACACTAAATGGCCTTAAACAGGGACTGCGGTGGGGGGAGGGGAGAGCAGTTCAAACTAGGGGCGTCCAGCCTGTTTGCAAAGCCACTGCGAGATCTCAGGGTCCCCCAGGGGAGCGCTTGTGGGGGCTCTCCTTCCATCTGCCCCGTCACGGAGGAGCATGAGCCCAGATTCCGGGTGCTGGCGGCTGCAGAGCTGGGGTGCGCCTCCGCCCAGGCTGACTGACGGTGCCGCACACCTGCCCTGGGATTTCCTCCAGCTTCTCCCAGGTGCTCAGTCGCTACTGAGGACCACAAAGGCTCTGGAAGCCAGATTCCCCACAGACCTTGTTTCACAAGGTCTCACTTCCTCGTAAGGCCTTCTGACGATGTCGCTGATTAAATGGTTGGTCCCACCTGACCAGGACTTCGTAAGAAACCTGACCCACGGGGCCAGCCCAAGACCATCAGATGTACCCTCTACCCTTATACAAAACGGGGAGGTGGCTGCCACCTCCGGTGACCCTGCCGTCCGGATACGATGCAGGAACCGTGCATCTCGGGATGCGACCTTCAGTGCTTGAAGATGGCCGAGCAGGCAAGAACTGTTGCCACTCCTCCTGCTCAAACCCTCTTCTGCTGCCTCCAGCTGGAAAGCAGTGGGGAGGGGCCCAACCCGCGGTGCCCCCGTGGCCAGCGAAAGGCTTGGCGCAGAAGGAGATGAGGCTGTGGCCCACGGTGAGGCTTGGGGTTGTTGGGGGGCGTGCTGCACACACACCAGCGCCTGCCTCTCAGGCCCCACATGACTTGGGTTTGCAGGGTGTCCTGCCTGCAGGGTGTGAGGTTTTGGAGTCCCAATCGCATCCCCTGGCCCTCCTGGCCTATTTCTCCCAGACAGAGCTCCTAAGACCCTTGTGAATTCCTAAGTGATAAGAGCACTAGTCACCTCTTTCATTCACATGAGGGGACTCTGGGTGGCTCCTGGATGAGGGCTGTCACCAGAAAGACCAAGTCCTGATTAGAAGCTGGGAGCTTCCGGCCCCGCCCCCACCCTGCAGAGAGGGGAGAGGGGCTGGAGATGGAGGTGATGACAGGGAGAGGAAGGCTCCTAAAACCCCAACACTGTGGGGCTCGGGGAGCTCCCAGGGGGGATGGGGTGGACACATCCACGCACCAGGAGGGTGAGGCAGCCCTGGGCTGAGGCAGGCCTCCCTTCCCACCAGAACCGTGCCAGCCACCTCCAAAGTTATCTCTCACCTTTGGTCTGGAGCTCCTGGCCCATCCTGCCAGGGCCCCTTGGACTGGCTGACCCCTGAGGGAGGCCTTCAGTCCCCACCAGAACTGGGCAGAGGCCTGGCAGCTTGGCCAGGACAGCCGGCCAGCCCCCTCAGAGCTGCGGCCCTCACACATTGCTCCCATGGTCCCCAAAACGGTGCAGGGAGAAACCGGGTTTTCTATTCATAACCATCAAATACTCTGAACATTCAAAATGAAGCATTTATTCCGTGTGGTCCTGAGCCAGCCAAGTTCCGAGACAGCGTATTAAACACTTAGCATTGAGATAATAAATGAATCATTGATTGTCAGTAATTAGGCCATGGATGCATCTGTTTTAGGCTGTCAGGCAGCCATGGGTGCCCCTCCTGGGGTGGGGGCTGGGCAGTGAGTGTGGGCTCAGAACATCGGGCACCGACTGTGGGTCAGGTGAGTGAGCAAGGCCTTGGGTGCAGGTGGCCCCAGAGAGGGAGAAGGGGTGTGGGGAGGGTGAGGAGGCAGGGACAAGGTGCATGTCAGTGCCTTTCATTGAGCTGCATATCTCTGTGGGCTCAGCCCCCGCGCCCTGTCAGAAGCCGTACACGATGCACGCTGAGCAAGGGGAGGCTGGCACACATATCCACCCACTGGAGGCGCCGATTCACCGGCACTTCCTGCTGGGCCGCTCTGGGCCCTTGCGCAGGAAAGTGGAGTCCCCGAAGGGCCCAGAGGTGGGCCCTACCAGCGCCTGGGCCACCCCACTGCAGTTGAATCAGAGTGAGCTGAGAGCAAGTGGCCCTGGCATCCAACATGCCTACTAGTCTTCATGTACCACACAGGTGCTGTGACTGGACACTTTTCATGGTGCCACTTAGGTGGGAAGGGACGTGGAAATCTGAGTTAGCTGACACCACCCTTCCACCTATTCCTGTGAAGTTTTGTTGCCCTTGGAGGTTGGCATTCTGGGCAGCCCAGCCCTTAACCCGCCCTTCCCTTCCACCCTCCTCTTCTACCCGTCACCCCAGTATTAGACATGCCAGGGGCTGGCACAAGAGGCATTGGCCCTGCTCCCAATGGCTAAGCCAGGCCACCACTGTCTCCCGCCACCAGGACAGGGGTGGCTCCCTGGGCTTGAGAACAGCCCAGAAAGGTGGGTGAAGGGCAGGTGAGGGTCTCCAGCAAGGTGGTCATTGCTGCTCCTGCTTCACGCCCCCACTGAGCAGGGACACAGGCGAGGGACATGCTGGGGCATGGACAAGCTTCTTCATGGGGGGGGGTAACCTCAGCTTGAAAGGAGAGAGTGAGAATCCAGGCTGTCAGAAAGCCAGGACAAAAGGCAACTGAGCTAAAAATAGGAGCATTGAACAGAATGTCTGGAAACGCCGTCCACAGCTCCAGGTTTCATCTCATCGTGGCTAATTATTTAAGTCACATAATGCAGAATGAAACGTGGGGCTGGGCTACAGGTTGCATACAGGTGGGGCACGCGGTGTCTTTATGAGAACAGTACACTAAGGCAGTGGTGTTAACAGCGTGCCGAGTGCATCCGAGACTGAGAGGAGGGCACCCCGGCTGAACCCTTTAACCATGGTGCACCCAGCTCCTGAAACAGGATGATAACAGGCGTGGGCCCCGGCTTCGAGCTGACACGAGCAATGATCTCACCGTGTCCCTGCGTGGCCAGACCCCAGGGGCCTGCCTGCTCTCTGAGCTGTCACCAGGCA